AGGAATATTTTAATTGTTTTTCTTTGTTTAATACTGTCGTGTTTATTCTTCTCCATATCCCAAGTGCTCTCTAAAGAAAAAAATAGCAGTAATACTGCCAGGATTTCCTCCTTCCAATGCATCCTCTCTTGAGCAGTGACTCAATTTCTTGCTCGGAAATGGTGCCCCCAGACGTTGGTGGCTCAGGTTGAAAATGTGAGTCATCTCTGATGTCCGTCTTTCCCTCAGACCCCACTTCTGGGCATTGTAAAACTATTAAAAATATATCCAGAATTTTACTATTTCTTATTACTTATTCCCCACCACCCCAGTACAAAGACATTGTTACCGCCTGTTTAGATCACTTTGGTAGTCCACAGACTCCTCCTTGCTCCTACACATGCCTCTGCCCCGAATCCATTCTCCACGTGGTGACCAGAGAGATTCTTTTTAATACCTGATATCATGCCCAAGTTGTCCTTGCTCAAAACTTTTTATATTCAGAAGAATAAAATCCAGAGTCCTCTCCAGGGCTTCCGAGGCCCTGTTTGATCTGACCCTGTCTTCTCTGACACCTCATTTCTGACCATTCTCTTATCTCACCTGCTCTGCCCTAGTGTCACTAGTCTCCCTGTCATTCCTCTACTTGCGTTGACACTTCTATTCCCTCATTCTCCTTTCTGGTTCCAGCCTCACCCCTTCAGAGAGGCCTTTCCTATCCTAATCACTCCAGCTACAATAGCCCCCATCTTTTTAATAGGGGTCCCTGTCTGCCCCTTCATTCTGCTTTCTCTTCAGAGCACTTATGACTATCTGGGATCATACATCTGTCTCTAGATCTAAATCTAGTTGTCGGTTTATTTGTATGTCACCTTCCTCCTACGCTAAATGGTGAGCTCCATGCAGGCAGAAGACACTACTCATCTCCATATCCACAGCACCCCGAATAGTGGCAGGCACGTAATGGTGATCAATAAATACTTGTTAAAGGAAAAGAGTAAAAAGCAGGGAGTAAGAGCAAGTGAAAAACTTTAAGCTTCTTCTAACCCCAAGGGTCTGTGAGTTGGTGAAGGTCCCAGCAGCCCAGGTCACCTAATTACTGTTATAACAATTTTGATTGTATCAGGCAATTCAGTTGGTGCTTCTTGTTTGAGATTGAGTTGATTTTTCACTCCTTGGCCCTTCTCTGTATTGTCAGAGGACTGCAGAGCAAGGTGACCAGGAGACCCCTGTGAGCAGAGGCAGGGAATGTTCAAGTTGGGACGGTGCTCCTGTGTTGTCTGTCTACAATGGCAGCCCCCCTCTTCATTCATGTGGCAACTTTAAAAAAATATTTGCTCTATCAGTAGGTTTTGTCTAACTCTTGCTTCCTCCTTCAGTCCTAGCATTTCTTAGCATTCATCACATACTCATAGACATTTGCCATGAGTTACCTTCCTTGTCAGACTGAAGGCTTCAAAAGTGACTCTGTCTGCTGTGTTCATCGCTGTATCCAGGGGGAGTCACAAAGTAACAGAGGCATAGTGAGTGCTCAATAAGTGTTTGTTGAACTAACAATTGAATTTTATGATAAACAACAAAAATTAACATAAATGATAAAATAATTTGATGATTGCTTACTTACCACTTTCTTGATACCTCATCAAAATAGTACCTCACTTATTTGGACATTTGTTTATTTTGTATTCATCAGGAGGTGGTGGACTAGGAGATTGATGGGATATTTACTCCTAGAAATAATTTAATTATTACAGAAATTTTCCAGAACCATCAATCCATAGAAACCATCCAAAGAAGACCATGAATCAGATTTTGTTAATAAGATTTTTGGTGTACAGATCATGCTCTTCTCTAGAAGTGATTCTATCAGGAAATTTTAAAAGAAATTTTATCCTTAATCTTTCTTGAAAACTAACCCTTTCATTTTCCTACCAAGGAAGATAAAGCACGACTGAATGTAGAGTGGGAAAAATTAGGACGAGCGCTCATGTTTTAGATATTCTTTAACTTCTCAATTTCTCTTCCAACAGAGTAGAAATAATTCTCAGGATTTGGATTAAATAATTTGAACAGTTGGACATTTAATATGTGAAATGTTCATAAGCATGATTGTTTGTATCACACAGTCAGAAAATGAACAGACTTTTATAACTGACAGAATTTTCTGACTCGTATATTTAAACCCAATGCAAGTAACCCACCAAAGTAGAAATAACATTCTAGTAGGGCTGTGTATCTTTACTTTGACCAGTCAGATGCATTTATGAAAAGGCTGGGACTACAGGTTTACAGGAAGGCATAAAACAAAGGAAAGTTGAGCTGTATGCGCTGGAATAAAACCCTGCCTCTGATGCCTTAACACTGTGTTCTAACGATGGCCCAGCCAGCTTAAGACAAAAGCAGCCGCGTGTCTTATCAGCGCCTCGGCAGCTTTTGCTAGGAAATGCCACAGCTTGCGAAACCACAGCCCAAATAATTGGGAACAGAAAGGAGGGAGGGTGATCTACATTTTTATGTTGGGAAGGATTAAGATCATCAGAGCTTCAGGGAGTGTTTTATGCAGTATTTGTAAGTTTATGACGTGTATAAAGATGTAGTTGTCTGTTATTTGGAGGCCAATTATCCATATAAATGATATTTAAGCCCTATTCTTTGTTTTCTGAGTGAAACTTCTGGACTAAGTTCTGACAGTGAGCAAAGCATTGGACTGCAGGGCTGTCCTGGAAGCCCGGCACTCAGGCTCGCCTCTCCTTAGCACTCCTCTGCTTTTTACCTTTGTGTGTGCCAGCAACCAGAAATGGGGAAAGGAAAGGAAATCTAAAGCCATCTGTTTGACTTCTTAAAAACATGTAAATTCCAGTCACAAGGCCAACTGCTGCTATAACAGATTATCACAAACTCCCATGGCTTTAAACAACACAGATTTATTGTCTTACACTGACGTGGGTCAGAAATCCAAAAATGGGTCTCATAAGGCTAAACTCAGCACGTTAGTGGAGCTGTTTTCTAGAGGGTATGGGAGATAACTCATTTCCTTGCCTTTTCCAGCTTTTAGAGGCTGCCTGAATTCCTTGGCTCTTGGCCACTTCACTTTGACCTCTGCTTCCATTGTCACATCTTTCTCTGGCTCTCCCATCTCCCTCTTTCACTTCTAAGGACCCTTGTGATTAGATTGAACTCACCTGGATAATGAAGGCACTCTCCCATCTCAAGATCCTCCTTACCTTAATCACATTTGCAAAGTCCCTTTTGTCATGTAAGGTAAGAAATTAACAGGTTCCAGAGATAAGAACAAGGACATCTTTAGGGGCCCATTAATCCACCAGCCACAGAATGCAATGGAAATTACTGGAGTCCAATTTTGTCCTTTCCTTCCTTTTCTCATGACCACCACCATCTGCCTGGTGTTGCCAAGCCTGAGCTGTAGTTATGTAGGATTCCTCTCACAAATGCAGGTTCCACTGAAGCTTCAGACCTCCACCCTCAACCACTGCAAACATGCACACGTCGAAGAACTCACTTTCTGTCTAGCCTTTTGTCCAGGGCCACATCTATATTAGCATAATTCTCACTAGTGCTGCTTATTAAGCATCTCACTTCTGGGCACATGTTGGGAGTACAACTAGTGGCCCTTTTGTGGGTGGAAATGTTCATGCAACTAGTTCTGGCCAATGATATATAAATGACTCTAAGCTGAGCATTTCATTGATAGCATGAAGATCTTCTAGAACCTTCTCTCCTCCCTCTTGTTACATTGATCTGCAGTGTTCAAGATGGGTAGACTTGTAGTTTGGCATGCAGAATAAACTAGAAGTAAAGTTTGTTGTAGCCACTGATATGTTGGAATTGTTTTTTACAACAGCATATAAACTAACTTATCCTGACTGATGCACTTAGCAAACGCTAAAAGGAAGGAAACTAGAAGCATAAACAACACAAACTGCTGCTAACTGGTTTTCTCCATTCACCTGTCTCCTCGTGAAATGTATATGGTAATATACCTGAAGACATCATTCATCACATGTAGTTGACTCTATCTCTTCTTCATCTGTAGAAATGAGAAAAGATCTGCAGATGTGATGAGTAGGAATGTTGGAGAAGAGTAGAGGTGGTGCTATGGGCATTTAGCAATGATCACTCTTTATTTCTTGCAGTAAACCCTCAAAATGGAAATATACTTATTTTAGGGCAAGCACAGAGTGGAGGAGAATTTGATGGAAATCACAGTAGGAAGAGAAGTATACAGGGAAAGAAAGATTGAAGAGAGGCCATGCCAGCTGACCGTAGCCCAGGGTGTCTGCACATTGTAGGCATTCACACCTTGAGGTGCCTTGTTTTTCAACTCTTTGGATACTGTTTTACCCTGCTCTTCTCCCTCTCAGCCGTTCTAGAACCCTTGCATTAGGCCAGTAATTGGGATTAAGGCATAGCTCCCACCAGCTAGAGATGGAACCTCCAGCCCATCAGGGGTACAGCAGGAGTGTCAATTGCCTGCAGATTAAAACTGGACTCTAAATGCATGTTTCACAGAAATGTTATTATACCCTGTGTTACACATTGCTAGAGTTAATATATGTATCACTGTTAGAGCATCCAGTTCTTCAGCTGGGTTGTAAGTGAGTTGTCAGTGACTTGGGCTCCTGTGGGCCAGCCTGAGAATCCATCCCCCGATGAAGAGCATTGTTTCTATGGAAACCTGCAATTTGTGACCCAAATATCCAGGTTAAGGTTTTCCTATTTTATCTAACTGAATGTATGAGTCACACATTCTAACTGAATGTGTGAGTCAGTGGGATTTCCCAATGTTCAATTAAAAGTTAGGGTTCTCTTTTAAATATGTATGTAGTTTTTCACCCAGATAATCCATTTGTGTCAGCAATAATAATGGAGGACTTTTATTCTAAAATGTCTGTGTTTAAGTAGAAACTTCTGTGATGGCAGGGTTAGTCAAGACCAAAATGGACATCTTTCTTCAGCAAGTAGTTCATTTGCTTTTCCTTTTATTTCTTAAAACCCTGCAGGGCGAGCCCTGCTGAGACTTACTGACAAAAAGCTTGAGCGAATGGGGATTGCCCAGGAGAACCTCCGGCAGCACATCTTACAACAGGTGCTCCAGCTGAAGGTGCGAGAAGAAGTCAGGAATCTACAGTTACTCACACAAGGTACCCTGTTGCTTCCTGATGGGTTGATGGAAGGGGAGATGGGAAGAAAGAAAACCTTACTATTAGGACAGATGGAAGCCAGGGAGAATTTTTTACTATTTCTTTGCAGAATTTCCTTTCTAGAAAATAGTACACAGATTTAAAGATTACTTCCCTTTGAAAACATTTTTCATAGCTCACTAGAGAGAAGGATGCACAGATAAGTAATGGATGAGCAAACAGAATTACCTGAGCTAACTTCAAGTTCATCACATACAGTTGTATGGATTGTATACTGCACAACCCCAAAGAATACCAGTCACATCAATTGGGGTACGATTGCACTCACTAGAGTTGTATAGTATGCAGCCTGCACAGCTGTACAGTCCAGCTCTAGCTATCTTCACCTGCGCCAGTTGTGAGGGTGCTTTAGAATTCGAGTGATTGTAGTTATGATGATCAGTGATATAAGTGGAGTTTTTGTTGTATTTTTATTTTGCTTTTCACTGGTTACTGGGAGAAAAATATTTTAGATATGTATAACTATATGTGAATGTATTATACACACACACTTTAGAGATTGTAAGAACCCCATTTAGCTTCTTGAAAGAATAATTTTTAAAATAGACTACAGTGAATCTAGGACCAGACTGTTAAGCGTATATAATTCTTAACAGGAATTATAAATAACTTCAATATGATGAGAGCACTTAAGAGCTCAATAACTGTTGAAGTGACAAAACTAGAATTCTAAGAAAGCCGTAAGTTACACTATATGTAACTTATATGTCTACATAAGATTTGGATACTATCAACCTTCATTGGCTATAAACTTTATTTGTTTTATTTTAGTGTCCATTGTACATCATTTTAAATGAAAGGATGATAAAATATGTGTTTTTGAGAGCCTTGAGTATTTGTCATTCTGCAGAATATAGTAATTGCATGCGTACTGATATTGGAGAAATCTGGGTCAGCCAAGTTTCACGTTATTGCATTTAGATTAACCTAGTAATAGTCCATTTGCCTAGAGGAAATAATGTGCTCCCTGAAAGATGACTATTCTAGAAGGATAAATGTAGACTTCAAGTGAGCATAAAATAGTATTGTTTGTTTTATATGCATTATTTGCATTTTGTCCCCAGAGACTTCCAATGGTGAATTTACTGGTATACTAAGTGATTTAAATTTGAATGTGAAGTACTGATATGCTTTTAAGTTTCTTTTAAGAAGTAGATAGAAATATGAAGATTATGATAAGAAAGTTTATCACAGTGCTATTTGGAAAACGGAAAATTTACAAGAGACGTAGAGGTCCAGCAATATGAAAAGAATCATGTACTTCTGCTTAAATTCATAAGATTCAGTATAATGCCCAGTTATGAAAATTACATCTTTAAAGAATACACGACAACATGGGAAATTACTGAAGTCATACAAGGTGGGGGAAAAGGTCATGTGTAAAATCGAATGCATAATATAAGCCCAATTTTGTAAAAACCATATATTCTTGTATCTACAGAGAAAAAAGGACTGTAAGTAAATATGCCAACCATTTTAATAAGGGATCTCTCTGGATTGTGGGATAAGTGGGTGATTTAAATTCTTATTTTTTCTATATTTTCCAAATCTTCTGCAAATTCATATTACAATTACAATCAGAAATACAAACATGCATTTTCTTAACCCTCAACCACAAGCATAGCTGCCCAGCTTCTGTTTAGTCTCTATGGTTTTCACAGCTCATTTTTTTTTCCCCTGTGGTGATGATCTATAGAATGAGACCTAATCTCACGTGTGATGTTCTGTGTGTGCCTTTGTCTCTTTTCCTCTTCTAGTATCAGCTTGTAGTGTGTTTGCTTTGGAGAATCATTTTCTACAGCGCTCATTGCCCTAGATGCATAATATATAAGATTTTTCCTAAGATAGTACTCAGGTTTATTAAACTAAATATACATATGTGTTCTGGGAAGTTAATGCCCAGTTCAGCCCTTTCAATTCAGTTGCTGTCACTTTCTTTAGCTTTGAAAAGCTGCACATTTTAAATTCTTTCATTCAGTACCCTTTGGAAGACCACATTGTTCTCTACCTCTTGGATATTTTGTCTGTGCTGACGTTACCTTTTTTATGGCTTGTTCTTCACATGTTTTCTTTTTCGTTTTGGTTTTTTCGAGACAGAGACTCACTCTGTTGCCCAGGCTGGAGTGCAGTGGCACAATCTTGACTCATTTTAACCTCCGCCTCCCAGGTTGAAGTGATTCTTATGACTCAGCCTCCCAAGTAGCTGGGATTATGGGCATGCACCACCACACCAGGCTAATTTTTTGTATTTTTAGTAGAGATGAGGTTTTGCCATGTTGGCTGGGTTAGTCTCAAACTCCTGGACTCAAGTGATCCGCCCACCTCGGCCTCCCAAAGTGCTGGGATTTCAGGCATGAGCCGGTTCTTCACATGTTAATGTTCAAACTCATGTTATGTCAGGCATCCTTCAGAAAATACATAGCCTTATTGAAGCATTAGTTGCTTTAAAAAAAAAAAAAAGGAAACAAAATTGACAAGTTGTTTTTATGTCTTACGACTGATAATAGAAGTTCTAAAGACAGTCGGATAAGTGTAAAATATTTTGGGTCTAGATTTGCTATAATAAAAATATTAGAATTTCATTCCACTCAGGTGAACTGATAAGTTTAAAATATATATCATATAGAAATTCACCATAGAGGTAATAGATAACTCAGTAATGAATATTTGATTCTTCATCTCTGTAAATATTATTCAGCAGAAACAATTTGCTGAATAAGTACAAACAAAGACTTTGGAATGTTTCTGGAAATCCTTGGGCTTCCCTCTTCAAGAGGGTGAATCACAGTTCTTGTCCATAGAGATGGAGTATCCTTCCACGGCTCACGTGGGGCTGTCACTCTGGTGTAATGCATTTCATTTTTTGTTGCTGATGATTATCTAACATGTTCAGGCTGCGGTAACAAAATACCATAACCTAGGTAGCTTATAAACAACAAAAATTTCTCTCTCACAATTCTGAAGGCTGAGAAGTCCAAGATCAGGGCACCAGCAGATTCAGTGTCTGATGAGGGCCCACTTCCTCACAGTTGGCCTTCTAATCATTGTAACGTCATGTGGGGCGGGATCTCTGTGGGGCCGCTTTTACAAGAACACCAATCCCATACAGGAGGGCTGCACCCCCATGACCTGATCACCGCACAAGGGCCCGCCGTCCAATACCATCACCTTGGGGGTTAGGATTTCAATACATAAATTTTGAGGAGACATAACATTTAGACCATTGCATTGATATTTAACAAATATTTACTAACCAGCACATTTTAAGAAGAGTTATCACTTTCAAAGTAGTCCATTTTTGAGGAAAGGAGATTATTTTAAAATGATTGCATTTCTTAGGAGTTTTCTTCTTGCCTTTGGAGGCAATTTCAAAATATAGTTTCTTGGAAACAACTTAACTGTCCATCTTTAGGGGAATAGCAAATTAAATTGTGGTACATCCAGGCACTGGTGTACTCTTAGCTATAAATACGAGAATGAAGAATACTAATATGGCAGGATCTCTGGGATACTATGAGATGTGAAAAAAGCAAGGTGCGGAACAATGTGTACTATATTTGAACAATGCGTATAGTATACTACATTTGCCAAAGAGGGGGAAATAAAAATGTATATCCATATGTGCTTTGTTTTAAGGAAATGCTGAATGATGTACAAGAAGCTAATACAAGCTGCACCTGTGGGACAGGGAAGATGGTGGATGGAGAGAGGGTGTGTGCCTTTTGTGTCACTTTGTTTTATGAAATGTATGAGTATATTAACTATTTAAAGGAATACAGTTTTTTAAAAGAAACAAGAAAGAAAAAGGGTGAATTTTGGCATCAGGCCCAAATTTTAAATCCTGTACCTAGCGCATTTTGCTGTGCTCACCAAATAGGGATGTTGTAAGAATTAAGGGAGCTAAGATACGTAAATCACTTGATACAGTATGATAGTAAATACAGAATGTTGTTGGTTATCAGTGATAGAAGCCACACAATTTAATCAACCTCATATATTTATAATAATCCTTATTTTTATAACATCTTTATAGAGATATAATTCATATGATGTACAACTTACCCACTTAAAGTTTAAAATTCAGTGATATGTAGTATGTAAAGAGAGTGGTGCAACCATCACAATAATTGTTAAAACATTTTCATTAACCCAAAAAGAAACTCTGTACCCATTAACAGTCATTCCCCATTTCTTCCCAATGCCGCCAACACCAGCTCCTGGAATCCTAATTGCTTAACAACAGGGATATGTGCCCAGAAATACATTGTTATGTGATTCCATCATTATGGGAACATGATGGAGTATATTTAAACAAACTGAGATGGTATAGCCTGCCACACACCTAGGCTAATTGGCATAGCCTGTTGCTCTTAGGCCGCAGCATGTTACTGTACTAACTACTGTAGGCAATTGTAACACAACAGTATTTGTGTATCTAGACTTACCTAAACATACAAAATGTACAATAAAACTTTAGTATAATCATCTTATAGGACCACCATCGTATATGTGGTTTGTCATTGACTGAAACATTATGTGATGTGTGCCTATAATCTACTTTCTGTCCATCTGCCTATTCGGGGCATTTTCTATAAATGGAGTCATACAATATGTGGTCTTCTGTAATTGGCTAATTTCAGTTAGGATAATGATTTTAAGATGCACCCATGTAGTAAGCATGTGTCAGTATTTATTTTCTTTTTATTGCTGAATAATATCCCATTGTATTACTATACCACCTTTTATTGATCCATCAGTTGCTGGATTGTTTCTGAATTTTGGTTATTAATAATGGGGCTTTGAACATTTTTGTGCAAGTTTTTGCATGGACCCATGTTTTCATTTCCCATGGATAGATACGGAGGAGTTAAGCTTCTGGGTCGTATGGTAACAACTCCATGTGTATGAAAGCTAAGGTGACTTCACCGTTTTACATTCCCACCAGCGGTGTATGAGAAATCAATTCCAACACATCCTCGCCAACACTGGTTATTGTCTATCTTTATTATAGCCATTCCAGTATGTGTAAAGTGGTATCTCATTATTGTTTTGATTTTCATTTCCCTGATGGCTAATGATACTGCACATTTTTGCGTGTACTTACTGCTTATTTGTGTATCTGCTTTAGAAAAATATCTATTCCGATTCTTGGCTTGTTTTTTAAATGGGGAATTTGTTTTTTCCAAACTTTATTTTTTATCCACAGTGTTTCAGTGCTTGATTGTGCACCTTAAATACAAGATCTGGAGTTAAATGTTTGGTTACCATTTCCAAGGAAGAACTACATCCTTAAAGGATGCAGTAATTCCCATACTGAAGACATTCAAAGCAACCTGCCACAGAGTTGGAAATCAATCCCAAAATGAACAAATGAATGCACGCTAAGATTTTCTCTCAAGGAAACAACACTCTTTGGGATATAGAAATTAAACGTACACACACACAAACACATCAAATTAATTGCATCGGTTTGTAATCAGAACTTGAAATTACATATGATCATCTGAACGCTCATGCCGTAGTATTTCTAGAGGCAATAAAATGACAGATAATTAAGCCTACTTTTCTGTCTTTCAATTGCTGTTTTAAAACGTGTCTTAAGCCTTCGATTCCACACTAATTGTTTTTACACAGTTGGCCAGGAGCTCCATGACAGTGGCCAAAATGGTCACAAATGCACCGAAAGAGCTCTACCTAGCCACCGTGGGTTATTTGAACACGGAAAAGAGGAATTCTTTGCCCCCTTTTTTCTTGCTTTCCTCGTTCTGGCTGCTGACAAAAACTGTAAGGCATTTGAAAATTTTTGTATGTTGCATGCATAGTTGATATATCAGTATATAAGCACTAGCACTGAATCATGACAAAAATTCCTGAAACAGATCATCATCTAAATCCAGAGCCATCCTTAAATTGAAATCCTGACCTCTGATTCCCCCTGCTCTTATTCTCAATGGCCTGCTTACTATGTGATATTTGCAAGTCAATGCTTGGACCTGCTTTCATGTCATCCTTTTGGTGCCTTTAAGGTGATTCTCTCCTCTGTGTAGCCTTTTAGTGTTCTGTGTTCTGTCCATGGAGTGGCCAGGATGTCAATCTGGTTGGTTGTTTTGTTTTTGGTTGTTTTTTTTTTTTTTTTTTTTGCTTGCATGTACCTGCTGGAAACTCAGCTATGTCAGAGTACTTCTAGTTGTCTCTTGGGAAACATGGTATAGAACTGAAAACATAATTATGCTTTCCTTCTGTTTGGTTCATGAGAAATGGGGGAAGGTGCCTTATGTAATATATGGCAGTGGTGCAAATTATATTTTGGGATCCTTCAAATTAATCCACAATCAAGGACACAAGGGGTATCCTTAGCTTTTTAATAGTGGACAATGTTTCTAGTAGGAAGACCCTTCCAGGAATATTGAATGCTGAATGTTCAGTATCAGCTATGTGACTGTTTCTCATATAGCTAATGAGTGATAAATGTTTACTACATACAAAGCATGCACTAATTGTCACATCAGCTTCTGACATTTATGCTACCATGGTCAGTCCTGTTAGCCCCAATTTTAATATGGGTATAAGAGAGGATGAAGAGGTTAAGTAACATACTCATAGTCAGACAACTAGTAAAAAGCATAGCACAGGTCTGTCTGACTCCACCGCAAACTTTTACCCACTCTGCTTTATTGCCTTTATTATGTCAAATGGGCTAATAATTTCCATCTCCAGGTGGTGGTTAAATGAGATTTTATGTAGAAACCATATAATAGAGTTCATTGCATATTCTATGACAGAGGTTGGCAAGCGTTTTCTGTAAAGGACCAGTTAGTAAGTATTTTAGTTTTTGCCAGCCATATGGTATCTGTTGCAACTACCCCCACTAGGCAAAACCCAACCATAGACAATACTTAAATGAATTAGGCATAGCAGTGTTCCAATACAATTTTATTTACAAAAAGATTTACTGATACACATCAAAGGAAACAACAGAGTGAAAAGACAACACAGAATAGAATATGTATATAATATATTATATATATTATAGAATAGAACATATATATAAATATATATATAAAACACAGAATAGAACATATATATAAATCACCTATCTGAAAAGGAGTTAATATCC